CCCACCCCACCCTCCACCACATGCACACACTCTCTCTCTAAAAAAATAAAAAGGTTCAAATCACCAGAGTCTTAATAACCTTAAGAGAATAACTTTGAATGCCAAAATAAGGTCCTTTTTAAATTAATTTTAAACATGTAATTTAAAAAATTATTCTAGAAACAATTTTATGAGAAAATATGCCAAAAATCAACAGGCAACAGTATGTCCTTATATTCAAAACAGTAATGGCTGGTTTGTATTAAAGTGTAAATATACTTTATTAATATAATTAACCCAGTTTTCCTGTGGTGGGTATTCTGCAGGTATAAACCTTCTTTTTACTCTCAACCTTCCTGTGATTTAAAGTTTTAGGTATACCGTTTTTGAACAGAACATTGCTAGCTGTTGAAGTTATCTTAAATCCAATCTGGCAGTAGTGATCTTTTCAGTCTGTTTACATATAATGTTATGTGACTATGTATGGATTGTGACTATGTATGGATATGCTGTATTTCCCATATATGCTATGTTTTTTAAAACCATATATATTTTAAAACATAATTTTTTAAAAAAGATTTCATTTATTCATTTGACAGAGAGAGATCACAAGTAGGCAGAGAGGCAGGCAGAGAGAGGGGGGGAAGCAGGCTCCCCGCTGAGCAGAGAGCCCGATGCGGGGCTCGATCCCAGAACCCTGGGATCATGACCCGAGCCGAAGGCAGAGGCTTTAACCCACTCAGCCACCCAGGGGCCCCAAAACATCAATGTTTTTGAAACCTTTTTCATCTTTTTTGTCTTGTCAAATTGATTGTATGTTACCACATTACAATTATCCCTTCTACTAGTTTAGAACGTGGGTCGGCAAAGTACACGGACTGTGGGCCAAACCTCACCCACCGCATTTTTTTTAAGTAAAATCTTATTGGAATACAGCTACACATATTAGCATGCATATTGTCTATGGCCACTTTCATGCTCCTGCAGCAGAGTTGAGGAGTTGGGACAGAGACCCCAAGCCTAAAATTTGATTATCACATCCTTTACAGAAAAATGTTGTCAATCCTGATTTAAAATATACACGCTACTTTGTGTTCTGAAGTTAATGAGTTTAATTTAATCATCATTAAGTAAAATGCAAAGCTTCTTATTTCCTACCATCTACCTTCCACTATATGTCATACAATGGTACTATAGTTTACTCTCAACCTGATTTGATACTGTTTCATTCTCTTGATTTCTAAAACCACAATTAGGAGACATATTATTTATTTCAGCCTAGCCCCGTGTCTCCCATCTTCTTGCTCATCATCATTGCAGGCATTTCCTTTTGGGGTTGTCCTTCTTCCTGAAGTAGAACCTTTAGCAGTACCTTTGCTGTTGATGATAAATTCTCTCTCAGTTTTACTTGAATGTTTTTTTTATTTTGCCCTAAAGTTTGGAATAGTTTTGCTAGACATAGAATTCCATCTGACAGTTATTTTCCCTTAGCATTCTGAAGATAGACATTACCTGTTGACTGACTTGCCAGTCGAGGAGCCAGCTCTGATAAAGAGGTCAGCTGTTAGCCTAAAAGTTGTCTCCATGAGGCACATGGGTGGCTCAGTGGGTTAAAGCCTCTGCCTTGGGCTCAGGTTGTGATCCCAGCCAGGGTCCTGGGATCAGCCAGGCACGGGGCTCTCTGCTCCGAGAGGAACCTGCTTCCCCCTCTCTCTCTGCCTGCCTCTCTGACTACTTGTGATCTCTGTCTGTCATGTGAATAAATAAGATCTTGAAAAAAAAAGTTGTCTCCAGTTTTCCAGAATACTGATTAAATGGATGTTCAAATTCCCTTTGATCCTCATATACTTTAAGTTCTCTCAAATTCCCCATTGTATTATATTTTTCTTTCCCCAAAGTCCTATTGGTTCACTTAAAGTATTTTTTTATTTGTGTTTTTATTCCTCTTCTTTAAAACATATAAAAATACACTTATTTATAAGTTTGTGTATGTATGTGGGCAAATGTGAATTATTGAAGAAAGTATAAAGATACAGAATCTATGACATCTTACAGGCCTGGGGCTTGAGGTAGAGGATTATTTCCCTAGTTTGGGCTCTTTCTATAGGTATCCGCAGGAAAATAAACACAGTCCAGCTTTTTAAGTAGGTTCTATTACATTTCACCACATACTAGCAGCCACAATGAACTGGGGGGAAAAAGTACTGCTCACCTCACTAACCGCTCAGCTTCTGTTCTATTCCAAATGGCTGAGTCCAGGGGCTGTTTATGCAGTATTTTGTCTCCCATCCTTCTATAGATAACCTCCAGCAGCTGTAGTGCATCTACCCATTCTCTCTCCATTGTGTATATATGTTGACCTTTGAGGAATGATGAGAGACTAGCTGCATCTGCAAAGTGGAAACTGAGACGCAAAGGTTAAGGTGCATGTTTTAAAACTTCTGAAATTTCCTTTTTTTTTTTTTTAAGGCTATATCTGATCCAGGTTCTTCTGTCTTTGAAAGACCCATGTTCCAAATAAGTGTTAACAAATATTACAACAGACGTTGAGGTAATTTTGCAGAACCTTTGCTCTTTTTAAATTGCTAACTTGGATATAGTGTCACTTTGCTGTCTAAATAAGAATAAATACTGGCATTGACTGTTTCTCCTTTCTTTCTGTTTCTCCTACTTTCTCCTCAATTATGATCTTAACCAAACTTGATAACATACAGATGTATACATGTATACATAACAACGTATATGTTTCATCGGCGAAGGCATCTTCAGTTCTAACTTCTAACTTTCCAGGCAGAAAAAATAAAAATAAAGTAAAATACAAAGGAGAAAACCTAGAACTGCAGATAATTTCCAAGTGGAAATTGGATGATAGATTGAGCAGTTGACTGAGTAGTTATGAGACAGTGACTTGTGTTTGGGAAAGAGCATTTCTTCTGCCTTGAATGGAACTGCATCAAAAACATCACTCATTGTAAATTTCTTGGGAGATGATACTTGCCAGACTGTAGAGTAGCCAGTAGACTCTGGCTCAGATTCGATGACGGTGATATAGGGATTATAAAATGACAGTTCTTGAGAAAAAAATAATTTTGGATTTTCCTTTCTTGTGTTTTTCTTATTTCTTTAGTTCACTATAGACGATTTATTTTTGCCTTAGTTTAAAGAACTTGGTATTTGTGATTTATACCCTTCTACTTTCAGAAAGAATTAGGGCCACTCTACAAGGCAAAATACATATAAAGCAAGAAATTTTAAAACTAACACACAAAGGAAAAGCCAATACCTAACTAGCTAAAAAACCCTAAGTTGTTTAGATCCTGTTAAAACAAGCTAAATTATTCTGGTTTCTGATAATAGCTTAAGTATTACTAAAGAAATAGTACAAATTTACTCTAATAGCTATTTGAGAATAATTTAACTGAGCGTATTGCATATATGTACATATATTCATGTATCTAATCTGAAAAATTATGAAAATACTGATGCCAATTACCTCCTCTCAAGTGAAAACGAACAAGTGAGATATTTTTTCATCCCTATGGTTTTTGCTATTTTAAAAATGTCTTTACTGCTTGGGCAGATTAAGAAGAATCTTAATTCATGGATTGTTGCTTTGTCCATTTAACAGTGGATTATTTATTAAAAACACAAAAACCAGTTTCGGCAATTAAAAAGAACATAAGGAATCATGTAACCCACCAACATTTTACAGCTGATATTCTTAGCATCTCAGCTTATGACATACTCACATTTTTGTGTCCCTCTTAAATAAAGAGCCAAATCAGTAGAAACTAGCATCACAAGTTTAATATATTTTAAAATATAGAAATATATTTAAACAGCACATTTAAAGAATAATATAATAGACTTCCATTTCTTTTTCTTACAATGGTACACTATTTATTTAAAAATATATTACTTAATGTACCCCCAATATAGTTATTATCAAATTTTCTTTGAGATAAACTGTATTCTCAAACAACATTGTAATATACCTGAATTATAAGCGAGACCATAATATTTCTGAAGCTATTTCTGATACAAGTTTTACTTGAAAGGTCCAAAAAGGTGGTTAATTAATGGTGTTTTATGAATATTTTAGATGAGCTGTAAATAAGCTTAACTGTAGAGCCACAACAAAGAGCGAGTAATCCATCTAAATGTCATTCTTCCAAAAGTTAGTGTGTGTTAAAGAAAAGCCTTAGAAGGCAAAGAAAGAAAATAAATTAATTTCAGGGGGAAGAATACACATGCACATGCACACATCAGAACCTTCCCGTTTGGAATTATTTGTGCTTGGAGGGAGGTTTCCAAAATCCCCTCACAAAATAAGGTTTTCATTGAGCTCGTTCTCAAAGATATGAAAAATGGATTTCAGCTGTTCTTTCAAAATGGCAATTCTGTCAAAGCCATTCCGGGATTTTTGGTAATTTCCTTCAGTTTAGTTTCAGTGCTTTTACCCTAAATAAAATCCCTTGCATCCCATCAATCAGCAGACTCAGTCATAAAGGAGAGCTAAGGAAAATGGCTCTGTCGGCATCTTCGCTCCGCTATGTTTTATGTATGCAATGACTCTTGTCTGTGGGGAGAGAAGTGGAGCGCATGTAAATGTTTCTTTATTTTGGACTGTTTTTAAATCTGAAAAAAAAAAATCTGCAGCAGTAGTGTTCTAGATAATAGGCAGACATGATTTATTTGAGGTAAGAAGGTTGTACTACAAGATTTTAGTGTTAATTGGAAAGTTATGGACACAGGCTCAAGCCTGTCTCCACAGAATTCCTGAAGCTTTGAGCACTTTGCAAAATCTATAGTCCACAAGCCAAGAAGGAATGCACTCCTCCAGTTACATCAATGCTGTTAAAGCAAACAGTTACAACAATTATGTGTAATCTCTCAGCTTCTATGTTCTGCCTACTGTTTATTTATTCAAATCCAGTTCAACATTTCACTTTATCTAATGTAGCAGAAACTCTGAAAGAAAAATTGTGTTTATCCAAGCATTTGTTTGGGTTGTTATTTTTTTTTTTTTTTAGTTTTATTTCTAAATAAACAACCTATCCATTTCACAGGTACCACATAGCCAAATGCATTCAATGTCCTTTATCAGTGATTAACATGCAAAGGAGTTCTAACTTCAGAAAATTATATAAAAATCACATTAGGAAAAATGTTGACATGGAATTGAATTGGACTTAGCATATCCCATTGAAAGTTACACTGGGCTATCTATTGTGTAATAGACCTATAGAATAGATTTTATTGCTAAGGCATCCACAAAGGAGAATATATACCTTTAAATAAATAAAAGTAACTATATACACAATATTGTACATAGGTACAGAGATGAAATGAGCCAGAGTAATTCTATGAAATTCCCTTCTTGTGTGAAAGCATACTTTTTATTGTAGTTCTAAACCTTAATACAGATCTTTTTCTTATTACCAATATTATTTAATATCAGTGGCAGCCACACGAACGCACTACCATATTTCTGTATTTTTTCAAGATGACATTGGAGCTGTCATCAAAGTACAGCACAGAGATGGCATTTAATTTGGTTGGAGCACAGCAAGGCTTCGGTACGTGGTCAGGAAACATCAGATGAACCTGGGAAAGAAAAACATTTTTTTTTTTTTTAAAGAAATGAGATAGACATTTTGTCCACAGCTTTCAAATAATATTCTTGGCGGGTTTTTTTAAAGATCTTATTTATTTATTTGACAGAGAAAGAGATCACAAGTAGGCAGAGAGGCAGGCAAAGAAAGAAGGGGAAGCAGGCTCCCTGCGGAGCAGAGAGCCCGATGCGGAACTCTATCCCAGGACCCTGAGATCATGACCTGAGCTGAAGGCAGAGGCTTTAACCCACTGAGCCACCCAGGCACCCTCAAATAATATTCTTGTTTTGTCACACAATCGGATACACCGTTAAGCTATCACTCTTCTATTTATGTTCAATGGCTGGGGTGGAGGTTGGGGACTGGTAGGGAAGGATGTATTTTTAGGCGTGAACACCTAGACTCAACTCACCTATTCTCATTATGTGTTGGGGCCTTCAAAAATACTCTACCAAGTAAGGAAAATTCCTTCAATGAAATATTCAGTGGAAATTTTCCTGGGGGAAAGTACATGGGAACTAGCACTGAGTTGCTTTTGGTTAGAATGACTCCTATTTACTTCATAAGAAATGCAGAAGTTATAAATGTGAATTCATGAAGGGACATGATTAGACTGTAGAAAGATTTGAATCTAAGAATTATTTTTTAAAGGACAATTAAACAACAACTCATAAAAGTTACACCCACTTTTAATTTTCCACAATAAAGGAAACATAAAAATCACAGCAAAGTGAACTCCAGGTATAACCCAAAACTTATTTTAAAGCAATGATTTCAACTCTTCTCTACAGAAATTTTTACCAGACTGGCTGGAGTTTAATACCCTTTTGCTTTCCTTCTCTCCTAGACAAGTGCCAAAAAGCACGTTTAGCTAAATCAGAAGCAAGGAGCCTAGATAGTTTACAAATTGAATATCCCTCTCCTCCAAGAGCCTCAAAAGGTAGCTGTACACTGAAAGTGAAATGCTTAAGCATAGAGTTTGTTCACATTTTGATCAGACTGGCAGTCTGCCTATAATTTGCAGTCATTGAGCAAGGAGCCAGTACATGGTTCCCCCTTTCCCACCCAGCTACCCTGGCCCTTCCCCGAAAGGAGTTTATGGGAAGTCCCACTGATGAGTCTTACGGGATCCACAAAAAGCAAATACAGCCTCTTAGAGTTTTGGCTGCACAATGTCCTGGCTGAAATGATATAGGAGTCCTGCATGTGGACAGAAACAGCAGGAAAAATGAGGTGATCTGACATGAACTTGAAATTTCCTAGGACCTCACAAAACTAAAAGTTGGATAGTTTAGACAAATTTCAGATGCAGGCTTGTGTCCCTCATCAGCTTGATCTTACATAACCCACACATACATGATTGATAACCCCTTATTTCAATGGCCTTGGCAGCTTCACAAAGCAATCATTCTGAAAAAAAAAAAAAAAATGGATTGTTCTTGACTGGTTTCTCAAACATATTAGTCATAAATATGCTTTCCTTTAGCAACAAGCATGTCTTCTTGTTTCATGTCCTTCACAGAACAAGCATACAGAGTGCACAATGCCAGGAAAAAAAATCAAACTTCCCATGTATGCTTCAAGTTTTGCAATGACTTACATCCCATGTCTCAGGATAGTGAAGCAGAGCAGGGACTTGTTCCAAGTCCATGTCAAATTTTTTTTTAAAATGTTTGGTTTTTGACACTGCCTTCTAGACTATAGCCCTAAAAGCTGACAATACGTGGTTATATATTCATAAGAAATAAGAAAAAAAAATGAGAGGAAGAGTATTTTGACAGAGTTTTTTCAATAATTAAGCATTGCTCAGTCTGAGGCTGCCTTTGATATATTAGGATGTATCAAATTCAATGAAGCAGAAGTGTGCTTTCTGAGTCATTAAGAAGACAATATAAAGAGGCAAAGAATTTTCTGAGAAACGAAGTGTCATTCCTCTATAAGCTAACAGTGGCTATTGCTTTGACCCTACAGAAAGACAGGCATCATGGCGAGTCTTTCAAGGCTCGAAATAGCAGCATTTCTCTCTATGTGATTGCATTTTGGGTCATCATAGAATTCTCATAGGCAAGGATAGATGGCTACAGTTCACAGAGATTCTTTTTCTCAACCCCCAGAAATGATATCCTGCATCAAGAAGCACTTCTATTGGTAGGTATAGCAAATATGAAAGCATAACAAATCTTAAAATTTCCCTAGGAATTTCCTTTATTCTTTGCATATGGCACAGAAGTAGGCAATCTCATTGGTCAAGAAGAAAAAGAAAAATATTTGTAAATGACTGCCTTTCAAAACATGTATTTATCTCTCTGTTTCTCTTTACTCCAAGGTTATTTCCAAAGTTTTGGACAATACCCATGCTCTAGTTGCCATAGACATGCCTCTCTGGTGTCTACTCTTCTCCAATACCTATGATGTCCACACCAGAAAACATCAAGCCATTCAAGGATTTAATCTGCCAATTTATATATACCATTCCTTATTCAGAAGAAAACTGGCATAGTCTTTTCATCAGCTTTCAATTTTAAGTAAATTCCAAAAAAAAATAACCTTAAGAGTCAACTCACAAATTCTAGTAGTTCCATTTTTTTGTTGATCATAAACAAGACTCACCCATAAAGATAGATTATTTTTTCCTCCTGGCTACTGCTCTCCTACTGGCATCTGCCAAAGAGCAACTTCTGTCACTAAGTCTTAAATCTAAAACAACATATCCTTTTCCTTCTCTCTTGATGACATATGGTTAAAATGTTCTTATTCACCCAAATATTAATTCAGAATTTTATCACATGATCTATTGCACCTTTTAGGAGCCTCTCACTTAGTCTTCCAGAGACTGTCCCTCTGCCAGATCAGTAAGTCACACACCATAAGGCAGGTGCGTCAGGCTCTCAAGAGGTTTCATGAGCTCGTTAAATACAGTACAACCATTTAGAGACCACAAAATCAACATTTCATTATTGTTTTCATAAAAATAAGCCCAAGTTATTAGAGATTAAATCACTGCTGAATGCCAGAGTGAGGAAAGGAAAAAATGAAGATGAAATTCCACCTTAAAGATTATTAAAAAAACAATAAAGATCATGAAATAGAAATGAATCTTCTACTTATAGTCTACTCGAAGAAGTTTCATAATACTGAAGTATTGTGGTGAAACATTCTTTAATAATTAGAGTAAAAGCCCTCAGATGAAATTTAGTAAGGCTATTATTCAATGTTTTTGCAATGGTTACTAATGAATTGCTAGGTTAGAAACAGCCCCTGGGAACCTGTGTGGTTAGTCATACTGCACAGCGAAGAAATCAGTGCAGAGTGACCACTTCATGTGGTTACTCCAATTTTCCTAACTGAAGTCTTCTCCATTCTGGAATCAGGACTATTCTTTAAAACAGTCTGAATTTCTTGACTATACCCACAATTATTACTTTGACTCTAAAAAGAAAAAAAAAAAAGTCCCAAGGGAATTTTAAAGAAAAAATAATGCATTTACAGCTATAACTGGATGTTTTCCTTTAAAATAACATTTATATGATGCTTGCATCATAAACCATTTTCAATTCTACAAAAACAAAGGCATACCAGAGTCTGAACTATGGCATGGTTGGTGGCATTCATGTGGGCATTGAGTGGAAAAGAACATTCTCCATCACAATAAAATGCAGCATATCCTTCTGGTGCTATAATCCAGTCCTAGAATGCACACACACAAAAAGAAAAAGAAAGAAAGAAGAAAAGGAATAAAAGAAATCATCAAAATAAAAATCAAGTAATTCTGAAATAATACCCACATTTAGTCTGTCTAGGTTTCTCTTCTTCATCCAACAATTATTCTAACAAGATAGCTACCCTCAAGCCCTTAATTTATTTTTAAGCTGAAGTTTACAACACAAGTATTTTCACAAGAAATTGCCCTCTGTAATTTCTCCCAGAGTTTGCTACGTAGGCTATTCATAGTATGCATTAATTCATGTATTCATAAATAAAACCATAATCATTAAGTAGCATTGTAAATATTGTTTAAACAGGAAATGATGAACTCTGGAAAGTTCAAGGGAACCAGAAAGGAAAAGAAGAATAAACTTAATTGAGATAATTCCTATTACTCCTTAATAACTCATTCCTGGTTTTAGAAACCTGACAACCTCTGAGAGCTTTAATATTTGTTCCTTTTGCTGTTTTTCTTTCCATTCACGTGTTAACTTTATAGTCTCTTTAGAAGAAATGAATCGTGTTGAAAGTTTATCATAAAAGTTTAAAATGCTTACATTTTAATATTACTTTTCAACGAGATAGCCCAAATTCAATTCTGTGAATCCATTGTAATCGGATAATGTAATCTAAAAACTTCAATTTAAACTATCAATACATAGGGAAACTAAAAACTATTTTGATTAAATCCTCCTCCTCACCGTGTTTGTGAAGCATGTGGAAAAGACAGCAATAAAACCCTTAGGTTCAGGGGAAAAAACATTCTTTTTTTTCCTGTGGCTCTACTTTATGACAGACATTATAGTCAAGGATTTTATTTCCTAGCCCTAGAGTTTGAGACCTGGGGGGCAAATGGTATTGCTCAAATTAATCTGAAAAACTGTTATTAGAATGAAAACTTCGGGATATTTAAACAACAGCACCTTTTCCCACCTTCTAAAATATCACTGAGTTACATTTCTTCTTCTTCAGCATAGTTGTTTTTTACTGTAAACTCTGATAATAATGTTTCAGTGGTGGTAGGATAATGGGGAAATAAAATGATGTGGATAGCCCATGTACTGAAGAGTCATCAAAAATAATTGGTTAGTGTATTGGAAAGATTACTAACAAAGATTACGAGTAACCTCGGATTTATAATAAAACAGAAAGGAACCACCTAAGTTCTTACCTGCCATCCCAGATCCCGGAAACTCACATAGAGTTCATGCTTCTTACAGGCTTGTTTTTGTTCACTTGTGTTATAATCTGAAGATAAAAATCAGATTTTAAACAAACAGCAGCTTAACAGGTATCCTATTATTTCTTTTGCAAGATCACTGATAAAATTAAATGGAAGCTGTCTTTGATGTTGCAAAATACGAGTTTGAATCTTAAAGCTTAGAGCCACTTAGCTAACCTGGTGAACTGTAGGCAAATCACTTGTCCTGAGTTTCTTCTTCTGTAAAGTTGAGTCAGTATCATTTACCTTGCGAGGTTCTAACAAGAATTTGGTTAGACTCTCTGTTTTATGGTGCACAAATCTGATGCCTGCCATTCATTGAGTACTAGCTGCTCAATGAATCCTCATTTACTAAGTAATTCATACTATAGAGGTACTTAATATATTTATACATACTAAATACTCATACAATGTTTTTTAACATCTTCCATGAGCAGACACTGGAAAGTACCAATTGGGACCTTACAGAGTTGATTTTATTTTAATAAATACATTAAACTCAGAATACTCAAAGTTGAACTTTTGATTTTTCCCCCAAAACCTGTCCAACATGTAGACCCTTCTATTTTTGACTGATGACAGCTTTCCCAGCAAAGACAGAGAAAGAGAGAGAGAGAATGTTAAAATATGCTGTTTTTTTCTCTTACTCTCACATGCATTCTATTAAGAAATCCTACACATTCTACCATCAAATAGGTCCAAAACCCACCTATTCTTACCACCTCCATGACTGGTCCTGGTCTAAACCACCATCATCTTTCCCCTGAATCACCGCAATATTCTCATTGCTAATTCTCCTTGCTTCTGCCCTTGCTCATCTACAACAAAGCAATCAAGTAGACCTTCTAACAAGTAACTCAAATTATATCACTCCCCAGCAAGAAGTCCCACTGGGTTTCCCTGCATCACTAAGGGTGAAATATCCTCTGTGGTTTACAAAGTCCTATCTGATTTGACCCCATTACCTCTTCGACTCATTTCCTACTATTCTTCCTCTCCTTCACTCCATTCTGGCCATGACACCTCCTTGCTGTTTTCTACCCAGGTAGCTTCCTCCCATCTTAGAGCCTATCTCTCTCTCTCTCTCTCCATACACACACACACACTCATATATGGCTAACATCTATAGCTTCTTCAGCTTTTCACTTAAGCTCCATCTTGTCAATGAAGACTTCACTAACTACCCTATTTAAGATCACAACTCCCACCATGGTATTCTTGATCTCCCTTACCTTGCTCTTATTTTTTTCCCTTTCACTTATTTTTTAATATGCTATGCCTTTTACTCATTTACTATGTGCATTGCTTCTTGTCTTTTTCCTCCCTCTAGAGTGTCAGCACTACAAAGTCAAAAATCTTATTTGGTTCTGTTTGGTCCACTGATACATCCTAAGTTTCAGAAATAGTCTCTGACACACAGTAGGTACTCAATAAATATTTGAGGAATTAATAAATGAATTCCCCAATGTGTTCCACAAATGACTTGAGGGGAAGGAAATACATTATATTCTTTACATATTTTAGAATATAATCTGAAAAACCCATAACCTTTTATAATTGTGCAAAAAAATTAAGGATAGGAGCGCCTGGAAGGCACACTGGGTTAAGCACCCAACTCCTGATTTCAGCTCAGGTGGTGATCTCAGTGTCATGAAATCAAGGTCTGCGTCAGACTCTGTGCTATGTGTAGCCTACTTAAATTTCTCTCTCTCCCCTTCTCTCTTTGCCTCTCCCCCACCCTCTTGTGCTCTTGTGCTCTTGCTCACTCTTTAAAAAAAAAAAAAAAAAAAAAAGGAAAGAGAAAAAAGAATTAGGGATTAATGGAGAGCCTCAATATTGCATCTGGACTAAAGTAATACCAAAGAAACACAGAGCTTTATAGAAAATCTCTGTTGTCTTCTTTGGCGTTTGTTCACACTTTATACAAATAACATTCTAAAAGCTAACCCATCTTTATTATTTCCAATACGAAATAGCAAAGAGGAAAAAATATAAGGTAAGGGAGTCAGCAAAATAATTTATTTTCAAAGAAGACAACTAATTTTTTTTTCTTCTAGGAATAACTGCTACATTCACTCTGCAGTCATCTCTGTCAAATCCATGTAGTAGTTTACTAGGCAGAGTAGCGTGTCCTAAGATGTCACCTTCCAGTTTAATTATCTTCAACCTCTAATGAAAACGTAGGCACTTCAAAAATCCATGGAGCCTGTCTTAGAGTCTCTTGTCATCCTTTCACAGTTACTTCAAGTAATTCTTTATTTCTGTCTTGAATACAAAATAATGATTAAATCTTGAACTCAGACGTTTTTACTTCTACACCACAGTTATGCTCTGCAACTAGCTTCATTAAAACAAATTAAATATGTAGCTAATGATGGAAAATGGAGAAAGAGAATTTATTTGGAGTGCCTCACTCTTACTCTTTGGGCAAACTTTTTCCCTGATCAGACTAGCACAAGGAGTTAATTTTGCCCAGGCAATGGACAAGCATATTGTAACACGAAGTACATTAACATGAAATGGACAAGTTCCCTGTATCACTTTTAGGGAAAAGAAATTATTGATGCTGGTATTAGTTTAATTATTTGATTAAACTTTTTGAAATTTAGAGGAAAAAAAAGTCAGCTATGCATTAGACCAGGGGTCAGGAAACTTTTTTTTTCTTTTTTTTTTAAGATAGTATTTAGTCTGTGGAGTCTTCCCTTGCAATGACTCAACTTTGCCACTATAGCATGAAAGCAGTCATGGACTATGTAATGGATGGATATTGCTATATTCCAATAAAATTTTACTTCTGGATGCTAAAAATTTGATTTTCATATTATTTCTATGGGAAACAAAATGTTATCCTTCCTCTGAGTCTTTTTCAAGCGTTTAAAAATGTAAAAGCCATTCTTAGTAACTGGTTCATACAAAAATAGGCCACAGGGCCTTGCTTCACCAGCCCCTGCATTAGACAATAATGGGAATATTTATTCATTCATCCTTGTCTTAATTAAAAACACTGAACACGAATAAAGACATTGTAGCCAATAACACATACACATATATATACGAAAAGCCATAAACTATGTGTATAGTTATATGAATTCCATGTTTATAAAAAAAATAAAGTACACTTAAAGTCAAAATAGATCTGTTCCATCTATGCAGCTTTTCGTACTAAGTGATATATATAATGTAACATCACATAAAGGTAATGAGCAATGAAATTTATAACAGAATCTGAGTCCAAGAGTCTGATTTCATAGAGCATGAGGACCATATGCTTATTCTGTTAGAAATAAAAATTAATGGATGAGTGAAGTAAATGTTGTACCCAAACCAGCAAAGTCTGCAGTTAGGTTTACTATAAATGGTTGGCAGAATAAACTAAAGGAGGAAGGGCAAGGAAATGAAATTTATGTATCTCGAAAAAATAGTGATTGATAGCCCCTCGAAAATTAACATGAAATGGACATAATGCCACCTACCATAGATTAACCTGCCTACAAATGAAGAATTCTAACAGAAATTACTAAAATGTTCTGGTGCTACAAGCACTCTAGAAAACCATGCTGACATTCCTCAACCAAAATGCCCATGTTCTAAATGCAGCATTTCTTTGTTTTGTCTTTTAATGGTAACACTATTGGAAACCAGGGCCAAAATATTGAAAGTTTTGTTAAATACTTTACATAAACTTCTTTATGATCAATTTCTCTAAACAGTACAAATTTAATCCTTTTCTTAGTTAAACTTTTAAGACATTATTTTGTTGTAGAAAAAAAATTGCTAAAAAAACTACATAGAGGTTAAAAGTGCCCCCCCCAAAAAAGTCTGAACTCTACATAACACTTCAAAGGTCTGTCCACCAGTCTCTGAAAAACAGACAACCAAATAAATAGACATGGGTTAGCTTAGCAAGGAAGTAGGGGGAAAAAAATTAAATCCAGACAACTCCACATACTAATATGGATTTCATTTTTTATTTTTTTAAATCTAAGATTGGCTTCTTTAAGGGATGAAATGTAGATATATTTAGAAAAGAAAAGAAAATTCAAAATAGAATGTCATGTCAAAAGCTTAAACAAGCCAGATACAGTGAGATACTGTGTTTCAAAAACAAAAGAGGTGTTAGCATTCTCATGATCAGTTCCCAACAGAAAAAGGAGACAAAGGAAGCCAGAACCTAAGCATGGGGATTTTTGCTAATTCACAAAAAGTGGAAATGACAAATAGATGAAGGTATAAGTGGTAAAGAAGCAGGAATAATGCTATAATAGACTATTAATAATGTAAATTTTGATATGGCCCTGGGGGTAGAGAAATTCATGATAAACCCCAAGCACCTAACAATCCCTTCAAAGTTGAGAGATTTAAAAATGCTACTACTATTCTATCTTAATCACAATCTTCCATATCCAGTGAATTCCTTGCTTGAATTTATGTACAACCCACTAGGAATTACTTTTATTGATGTTTTTACAAATAATTGTATTTGTCTATGTGTAGAAATGTCTGATGCAGAACAGATACCACAAAATAACAACTATCTGGTATGTTTGCTTAACTCTGGTTAGCAAAGTGCCTATAAGGATGACCCAACTAATATCCTCATCTTTGAGCTTACTGACAAAAGGTTTACCCACAAACCTTGCACTCTTTAGATGTTTGCTACTTTGTTAACAGGATCATCTGTCATCTAGTGACCCAAGTAAGAACATTTGGTAAGTTTCTTGACTTTCTTTCTTCCTCTCTCATGTCCTACCATTAAACTGGTCCACAAAGTCCACTTACTGACTGATTTCTAGTCTAGATAACCTGTCAGAAGCCCTTTGCTCTCTCGGTTACCTCATACTTCCTCAACATCCTCTTCCAGTAACTTTGTCCTAGGGTAACAGTTCACCCCCGCTCTCCCTCCTCCATCTCTGACCATAAGTCTTTGTCTTTTTTATGGAATTGCTTTTTCTCCTTGCATATAATGAAAGGACTAAATTTCCATGGGAGTCTGCATTGCTGATTTTTTTTCTTTTATTTTCTATGG